AAGAGGGTTCTTAAGACATAAAACTCCTGTAAATCCTACGGGAACAAGAGATAACGGGATTGCGCGTACAAATACCCGGGCAGAAGCTCGTAAATAATAAAATAAATCACCACAACTCACAGGTTTTCATTAAATTCAACTTATGAATTAAATGTATGTATTACATAAAGATAGACTGCATAGACTTATTTATTGCTATCACTTACCTCAATTAAAAAAATGAAGTTTACAATTACAATTAATTCTCTTACAAAAGATAGTGTTACGTTTACAGTTATATTATTTCCCTATCCTGGTGTTTCTTTGACTTTGTTTTGTTATAAAATAATAATTAGTTAATTACATCTTTAAACTTATTTACAGTTTTATGTTTTTACAACTTAAAAAGATACATATAAATGTCAGAACCACAAATAAAAAAATAAGAATGTAATTTTACATTAAAAAACATTAGCATTCTTACATTTTTAAATTTGTTATTAAAAATTTTCATAAACATCACAATAACGAGATAAAATCATAGTATCTAATAAAAGCATAATTTGTAATTTAAAACCTGTTATTACATGAACAAATTGCCAAAATCCTGCAAAAATATTTCAGAATACTTCAATTCTCTTCACTGAAGCAAGAAAAGCAAAACTTCACAATGATGGTCTGAAATCCAGATAAAACCAGACGCAGTTTAATGAGACTACGGCTTCCGGCTTTAGTCTAGGTTTAAGCCTAGACTATCTCGTTGCTACGTGGTTATTTTCCTTTGTTAGCCGATAAAATACTGTTAGCATTTTATATACTTAATTGCTTTTGCGAGAACGCCGGGATTTTTAAGGGTTGTCAGAAAAACATGTCGTTTGGAGTTTATTGAAAAATATTTAATGGCATAGTTATATAAAGGGTCCAAGTAGAAGGTAGCGTGTGTTAGTGAGTGAAAAATATATCAGGCCTCTAGCTGCTGTTTAACCAGTTTTAGCCGATAATTAAATAAAAATCTGGGAATTTATCTAAATATAACATCACGTCTTTTATCCCCAAAGCGGTAGCCAAAGGTGCACATCACGTCACTTAATGCCACTGTACAATGTAACACCCTTTTTTCACTATATGTGTTATGAGTCACTTGTAATAGGCCTATTACCTTATACCAGGCACAATTCTAGACTCCGTGCTACTACTGAGAAAATGAATATAAATAGAATTACATATTAATTATGATCACATTTGTTAAACAAGAACAATGTCAAGTATCTGACGCTAGTCTTAATTTCACTCATTTCCTTATTTATTGACCTTTTCATATTATTACTACTCTTGGTCATAACTATAGCAAGTTTGTGCGAAGTACCTAGTTTTCATTTGATCCTTTATAAATCGATACAAATACTAACGAACAAATTTCTTCGTAATCACAGCAAACAGAAAACATACTAAACTAGATGACGCTTAAAATGTTTTAATGGAGTCGTTGAAAATTTGAATCAATGCTAATCACTTTTGATGCTGCCATCAAAAGAAGCAATTATGTTCGTAAAAGTCTTTAGCGTCACATAACGAGATCCGACGTTGAGTAATAGAGTCACAGCTATCTCTGAAACTTTGGACCGTGGCCTCACAGTTACAATAATCATTGGCCATTAGACTGAGCCGCTCCTCATTTATCCTGATGTAACTTTCCTAACTTAATTTCTCATTCACCTGTCACTTTTTCCCCGAGAAAATGTGAAAATTTTCCCTCAGAAACCCATTTAGTTATGGATTTGTCGTGGATTTCTTTTTGATGGTTACTGCTTAATGGTGTCGTAGTAAAAATTTTGCGGGGATTTGAATTTTTAGTACAGAGATGTTGTTTTTAACCTGGTATAACTTAGTATTCAAGAACAAAAAAATATGCACCTGTGTTTTCTATTTTGGAACTCTAAGATGACTCTAATACTCTATTTCTGTATACATAGAACACAGCTCCATCAAGTACCCCGATAACATTTCCTTCAACAACCTCCCACTCAGACTCGACCAAACTCTCAGATTATATGCCAAATAAATATCAAACTTATGATCTAGTAATTAAGGTTGTTACTCTATTAATTAATGAATAAATTAAGTTAAAGTGTCTCTTTAATAGTTAGGAGTATTATTAATGAGTTTGGCTAACATCCAAACCCCGTATAATTACTCAAGGTTATGGGTAGAAGTTTACGTTGTCATAAATATTGTTAATTTCTGGGCGGGTTGTGTTGGGAATGCCTTTTGTTTGAGGCCCACGATTTTAAGAGCTGATTGTATGTTCGGTCTCCTTTTTGTTTTATTTCGTTTTTAGAGAGACAATACAATTTTTGTTCTATGGTTATTGGAGTGACTGTTAAATAAAAAGTCATCGGTTTGATAACAGGTTTGCATGTTTTTTATTGCTAACGTTGATATTGGATTTGTTGCCAATAATAATTACGACTATGAGAGATACGACATAAAAGCTTCTTAAAATCAATACTGGATCAAAACTAATGAGCAAAATATTTAGTTTTATGATCAAATAGCACAGGTTAGTGATAATTGTCTAGGTATATATGCGTAAGGTAAAACCGTTTCATATTAAACTAACAATATTGAAATTAGTCATTACGCTGGCTTATGTCTATGTCATTATCATAATTCAGAATATATATTGAAATTGACTCATTTCATATTATTCGTAGCATGTAAACGAATTATATTGTTTAAGCGATTGTGACATTTTTTCCATATTAGATGATTCTAACATAATGTGACTTCAACAGTATTTACTTTCGACGATACAGAAAGATTTTTGGAAAATATTATATTGCATAACAGAACGGTTTTTAATCCTCGAAAGGATAGGCAGAGGTGAATATTGAACTATGTCAATATAATGGAAGCTCCACTTTTCAATATTTATGTGAAGAGTCTTGTCTATGAGGGGGTAAGTCTAGTGACAGGGCAGTTTAAAAACTCCAGCTAGCTTGCTAGTACAGATGATTAAAAAAATATATACTATATATAATCAGCCCATTGCTTGATTCGAGACGTTGACCCGAGACTATTCAAAAGCAATTTATTAAAGTTCATAATGAATACATGTCAACCATGACTCCATCAAGTCTTGAAGCAATTCACCTCTTCTATTTCTCAAAGAAATTCCAAAGCTCAAATCCCGATTCTAATCGAATACTCACTCTATTTAGACAAAGCGGTTCGTAAATATACAACACAAATGTTTTTGGTTTGATACAATTCTATCGGCGCCTAGTTTTCGATTGACCTGTTCTTGTTGTCTACACGGGAAATTGAAATGGCTTTGTTTGCTTTATAAAGACTCGAACTGAGGCTTCCAAATCTTATCGGCAATTGTTTGTGAATATTTTTGTGGTACATTTTTTAATGGGTCGACGTTTGGCCACTATCTCACGTGGAGGTAAGTAATGATGAGGGCTACGATGGAGCACGACTGCTATAGGCAGACCAACCAATTTACTCGGGCCTTGAGGACAATCAGGTTTCCTTCAGGAAACACAGACTACGGCAAATAATTCCACTCCGTACGCACAAGCAAGCTTGAAGCAATACGCTTCGTGCGAGTGGATGCGACATCCACCATGAATCGGTAACGCTTCTTTATTTGTGTTTAAAATTGGAATTTGATTAAATTAATATTGAATCACTTATCTAAAAAGTAATTTTCACTATGAATTTATTACATTGTTGCTGTAAAAAACAATTAACCAATCAAAACTTTCAACTAGGTAAATCAGTCAGAAGCAATTTTCATTGTTCCAATGAAATAATACCTATCAAATACATTTTACTTGGAAGTAACGGAGGAATTTTGTCTGCAGGCTTTGAAGGAACTAGAGTTCTTGCTTATTTAATTAGCTTAATACTTTTACGATAGATCGTCATTTACTTTAAAGATAAATCGTCAATTACAGTACATTGAAAAATTAATTTTTATCAGTTAAAACAAAATGTTCTTGTAAATGGTTTATATTATAACGTAATAAACTATCTTTGTCACATAAAAATGAGTAATATAAAACAAAAGTCATCGAAACACCACATCTATTCTTAGGGGATACCCTGATATCAATTTAATACTTAACATCAGCTACTTATGTAATTCTTTACAGAAAGTAAGTCGTTACTAATATTTACACCATATTTACATTAGATTACAATTACATACTAAATTATGGAAAGTCAAACACAGTTTTTAGGTACAGTTTTTAAATTACAGTTTGAAATTACTCAAATATTTGTTAGGTACAGTTTATTTTTGCAAAGTAAATTTTTTAATGTGTCTACTATTTATGCATTGGGCATAAAATGTCTTTATATCATGCTTTGTATTATAATGGTGTAGTATTGTTGACTATGTAATGTATGCAGAGTGTAACTGGGACGCTCCCGAAAAGCGGTGACAGATGAGATTTATTTTTAAACATTGCCCCACACTTGGAATATCTCCTGTGTCGTGGGTGCGTTTACAAACATACAAGTTCACATACACATGACACCCAGACCCGAAACAACAATTTGTGGATCACACAAAGTGTTGTCCCGTGCGGGAATCGAACCCGCGACACGTTGCACGGCAGCCGGTTGCCCAGCCACCGCACCAACCGTGCAGTCAATTAAATGCTTCTTTCATGTACCTAATAGTAGTTGTGATCAACTGTTCCAGGCTGAATGACACGAAAGCAAAAACGATTGAAATATGGTATAGTTACCTAAATTTTATTTTAATGTCCGTCTGATACATAAATTTAAAACATCAGACACGTATTTTTTCTTTTCTCACAAAATTAAATACTTTCGACGGTATATTAATTTGAAATATCGTGTGACGTCACAGCGTCTCACATTTTGTAGCACATTATGACGTAACGACCTCCCACTCGTAAAGTTAGCGCCATTGTATCTAAGTATTGCAACTTAATACGAGAAAATAAAAAATACGTGTCTAATATTTTTCGTTGTGTAACGGACGGACAATTTAATTTTTAATTTTTATACCCAGGAAACTACCGAATTGTGAAAACAATAAATTTCTTTTTATCAGCGTTGCGGGAGCGGTCCTTTTACACCCTTTATAATAATTATGTCTATAACAATTCCGAGATTGGTTATACATATTATTTATCATAAGTTCCAATGAAAATGTTATAGTGTTATGTGGCATTTTGTTAAGTATACTTTGTTTTTGTTCAATTTAAAATGATTTGTTGTTTCAAATGTTACGTTAAACGCTCTCCTTTCCTTAATTACACATGTTTTCAATTCTAATTATTGCTAAATGTATTCGCTTCTGTTGTTCTCTTGGAATTTATAACAACAAATATGCAAGCGTGGAATGTTGTGTTACAAAATGTTACGTAATAGAATACACGCGTATAGATTGCACAGAAAATATTGTTTTAGTGTAAATATAACATTTCGCGAATTAATATCAACAGATTACAATGAAAACAACTATTAGCATTCCATTAGTAATAGAAAATACAGGCTTGTTTCTTGCACATAATTGGAAAACACTAAAATGTTGATAATGATATTATTTTAACCATTTACCGACGACTGTCGAACAAAGGCGGCTTTAAACGGACTTACTCTATAAAATATACAAAATTGCAAAACAGGGATCAAACAGGATCGTTCGCTAAGTAATGGAGTTCCGCCTTCATTCGCCGCCGCCGCGAGCTCATATATTTACAAAACTACTTTATACTCAGTCGCTTTATCACTTTGTTAGCGTCTAAATTGCCCTGTTTAAGCGTTATCGGTCTGGCGTCGTCGTCAGATGTCGTTAGCGTCACCGACGTAACCCTCATCGGGGCTTTCCGAACATATGTCAGCGGCACACTTCGCGTTAGACACTTGCGGTAAAGGTTTGAGCACACTCTCGGTGCCCTCGCCGGGCATCCGAGCGTCCGTGGTCTGTGTGTCCACGCACCGGGTTTCGACCTGGTAGCACCGACCCGGCCCCTCCGCCACACTCATCGGCACCATCACTGCACACGTACCCTTCGGGTTCACCCACGAACTACACGCCTCGGCTGGCGCACAACACTGCACTGGTTCCGTCTTGTAGCCCTCTGGTGGAGACGGTACGAACTCCTCGTTGTAATACACCGTACCGTTGCCGACAAATGCGATCTGCCTATTCCTCGGTACAGGGTACCCTTCTAAAGTACGCCGCACATTTCCTGGCCCAAACGGCAACTCGAAATTGGGACAAGCGGGTGGCGTGGGCGCGTTAAATTCTGTATCTTTTGCGAATTTACAAACAAGCTTCTGCCCTTTGGGTCGATTATGTGGCAGCGTCTGATAAAACGGACCGACTACCGAATAGTTGGACATTATTGGCGGTCGGCAGGGATGTTTGGGCAGGCCGTAGTCGTACGGGTAGCCTTCGTTATCGAGGAAGCATCCTGGATTCAGGTGAACATCCGCCGAGTGCTGGTACATGTTGTTGATCGTGTTCTGCGGCATGTTGATGGTCTGTTGATCCTGCCACGTGACCTGCCGGGGTATTGTCGGCGCGGTGAATGCGGTTTCCTCTTGGAAGCTGTCCCCGCCCGCGGTTTGCGCTTTGTATACTGATAACACTGTGTTCTCGTTTTGCGCATTGTTAGCTACAGTTTCCGCGTCGCTAATTAGGTCGGGGTTCCTGTCGACAAAGCCTTTCATGTTATTGCTTTGATACACGTCGGTTGAGTCGTAATCACGGTTTGTTTGTACCGTATAGTGCAGCGCGTGATGAGAGTGCGCGTTCACAATGACGCTGCCATTATTTTTAGGCATCCCGTTCCCGCGGTTCGAAGGTAGAATTTGATTACATAACGCTACATCCTTGCCACTTTCTTTTTTCTTGCGACTGCGGGTGTCTGTTTTAAACTTTAATAACACTACGGCGATTATGGCTATAAGTAGGATAATAATAAGAAAGACTACAGTGACTATAACTACGAGATGTCTCTGTGGGAACGTGACCACTATCACAACGGGCTCCTCCTTCACAAGTATTCGTATTGTGTAGTTCGCTCGCGACCTGCCTGCGGGGTTCTCTGCGATGCATGAGTACGTGCCGTTCCCGTCGTTCCCAATGTTGAATATGTACAATTCGCTCTTTTTATCCGTAACGCCGTTCTCCACATAATACAGATCGCGAACGTCCGGTAACATGCTCGAATAATTATGAATGATCTGGCCCTGATATAACCACGTTACTTTCGCTTCGGGTATCGCTTTCACTAAGCATTCGAGGGTTATATTATTACCGACGTTAGTCTCTAAGAACACGGACGTAGGGCTCATTTTCGGTACGCATGCCAACTCGTTTTCCGTGACGCTCGCGATCGTCCGTTTCCTCAAACGTTCAGGGAGGGAGCAAATTGGTTCAACGGCGTGCGGCATATTGAAATTCAACAACCAACTATGTAAATCCCTGAGATGGCAATCACAATTCCAATTATTATTTTGCAAGTTGATCCCTCGCAGCGTATCGGGGAATAAATTTTCACCTTGAATATTTGATAGTCGGTTGCCGTTCAGTCGCAGCCACTCCAGGTGGTTGAGTCCGGAAAAAGCATCTCTCTCTATTGTCTCTATTTTGCAATCACTCATTTCCAAAGTATTCAAATACGATAAATGTTGGAAGCAGTGAGTTTTTATGCTCGTTATTGGGTTGTTGTTGAGTGAGAGCCTCATTAGCGACGGGAAGAAAACAAAGTTGGTCGACGGTATGACTGTCAAGTAATTGTTAGAGAGATCCAACTCAACGAGGTTCGCGAGACCTTTGAACGCGTGGTTATCGATCTTTTGCAACCTACATCTTGGTAGGTAGATTTTTTGAAGATTGAGCAAGTTTAATTTGTGGAAGGTCTCTTTTTGTAAAACTTGCAAGTCGTTTCCTGTGAAGTCTAGTACTTGTGTTTCTGGGTCAAGTGAGTTTGGGATTGTTTTGAGATCTTTTTCTGAGCACTCGACGTATCTTTTACCGTTCTTCCACTTGCATATACATTGTGAGGGGCAGGCGATGGCGGGCAGCAGGAGGCAGGTTGTGCATAAGGCGATCAGCCTCACGTCCAAACTCTTTCTGACATTCATATTGCGTCAAGCATGCGAATGTGGTCCGCAAACATTATCTGTAACAAAGAAAAACGTTTTTAATTCCAACAAAAACAATATTTTCACAAAGAAATCATAATTAACACAATGTTGGTACAAAACCAATCATTAATGTACAATATGTAATTTGAGCGAGTCGCTGTGTCATTAATAGCTCGGTAATATTTCGTTCCACATTATTTGTTCATGTATATTTAATTCTGCGACGTAAAATATTATTTTTTGTCATTTCGCAATATAAATGAGAGTACAAGCACCGGCCTCATTATAGTCTCTTGTTGTGAAATATATTTTGTCGTCCTATCCGCCTGTTTGTCGGTCGTGATTCATAACGACGGAGATTCTTCATGGCAAATGAATGGTAATGTTTTCGTTTAATCCGTAAATTCTTTTGAATGACATGAAACTGTGAATACCTGTGACTTTGTGGATGATTTGTTCTCTGATTCGTGAGGAACTTGGTTTAATGTAATCGTTTTGTCGATTAATTTCAGTCTTCAAAAATACCTTTAGATCCAAATAGTTTTATGATTGATACCTTAATAATTTTGTGTACAAATAAGATTAATTCAACAATAGGCAGTAAATTTAATATTCTTTGCCTGTTAAATTTATTTATACACTTTTTGACTTTATGATTCTATTAAATTAAAAATAGAAATTATTATTTTTTTTAATGCGCGAAATATTCACGTACTACGCATAATGATTTCCTAAACTCGAATATTTTTTAAGACTGAGAATGAGACTAAAATAAAAATACAATAGAAAATACTTCGCATTTCCTACGTCGAGTGGAGGCGACAGGTGACAGAGTGTCAGACACTTGGACATCGACTGAAATACATTACTAATTTCAAAATTATGATAATAAATCGCAAAAAGGAAAAAAAGTTGATTTTTCCCTGCTTACAACTGTCATGAAGAGAAACGAAACAATTGATTAACATTCTTATCTTAATTGTAGTTAATGAATTTGGCAAAGGGTGCAGTTGGGAAAACCCTGGCAAAGAGCGGCAGAAAGGAAAATGTTCTTTTCTGAAATCCCGCTACATTTTGCGAGGGCGTTTGTTAACAAAATGTATGTTTTGTTTGTTCATTGTGCTGTTGGAAATTATTTAAAATCAGGCCGGCGTGGCGTCTGTTACAGATTATTTTTAAAATGTAATTTCCGTCTGGCAATACTGTGAAATTTAATTTTTAATCTTGTAATCAAGGAATACTTTTAGAATGATTAACATTTAGCTTCATAGTTATTGTATACAAGCATATTAGCATTAACTAATTTTACTCCAGAATATCTTATTAATTGTAGTGTGCTTTCCTTATTTCTAAGTCCTTATTTCTGCATTACGAATTATTTCAAAATAAAATAACCCAATAAGACTTTGAGATGTCAAGTATTAAAGGAAATTGATACATACCAAATAGGCTTTATGTTTTCTGTCGACTACGGTCTAATACCCTTGATAGCTCGCTACATAGGCTTCAATATGATTAAAACCTTTGTGGTCGTATTGGAACTTGAAGTAAAGGATGAAAGAAAGAAGTAATACCTAAACCTTTGTGCGTACAGCCAATTAGAACAGTGACCTGTTTTTCACAATATGGTATTGGTTCAGTAATAATTTATAGTAATTCACTGAGTAATTTTCACTGCCTTGTTGGCCGAGTGGTTACAAGTGTGCCTGCCGGGCAAGGGTTCTCGTGTTCGATTCTCGGGTCGGGCAAAGTATTACTGGGTTTTTAAAAATTCTCAGCATGGAGTGTGGAAATATGCCCGGTATATGGCAATGGGCTCACCCCCTATTACATGGTACCCATAACATAAATAGTGAAAAGTGGGTGTTACTTTGTACAGTGGCATAATGTACATCTCTTCCGAAGGGGTTTCGGAGATAAAAGGCGTAATGTTATGTAATTTAAACAATCCTGTTATCCATTTTAACAGCGTCTCAAAAATCAGTGACGAAACGTCTCAATATTTGACACCTCAAAAAGCAAAATAAAAATATTCAGAATTACTTGAGTGGTAATTACGCATCAAAAAATGTCGCGACAAAATAATGTATACGCAACAGCGATACCAACGTAAGCTCGTCTTGACGTCAAGTCACTTGCGAATAATACATACGTAAATTCTAATTTCGATATAACATCTGACATTTCTATTTTTGTCCCTTTATTCTCCTCCACCTTCGAAGCCTTCGCCCAGCTCCGGGCCCTTTTCACACCTTTCCTTTCGTTGTAAGGCAGTCTGGTCGCTATTCGGAAAATCGTACTTTGATAATCAAATAACAAAACAGTCAAATGCTTTCCATTAAATTTTCACTTTGTTCAGGAGTCACAAATTGGGATTGAGCCGGTACCCCCCTCCTCCCACAATTCTCGTGACATCGCGAATTTAACGGACTGGCAAATTAAAAGTAGGTATCATTTGGACATTGACGAGGGTACGAATGTTTGTTTTTTCGTTGTTTCCGTTGATAGAACCAATTATTGGTTCGGCTAACGAAATTTCACGTTTTTAAATTAAAATGTTGTTTTGGCATTTTCTGGTTCGTGTAATGACCCTGTAATATTTTGGATGTGAGTTTATAAAACTGTAGTAAACTCATTTGTATTTATTATTGTCTCTTTTAGTTGTTAACTAATTTAAACTAATATTTTACAAGCACCATCCTAACAAATATATTACATCACGCCTTTTATACTCGAAGGGGTAGGCAGAGATGAACATTATGCCACTGTACAATGTAACACACACTTTTTACTACTTATGTTACGAGCCCCATGTAATAAGGGGTGAGCCTATTACCATGTACCGGGCACAATTCCAGACTCCGTGCTACCACTGAAAATTTAAAAAAAAATCCACTAATATTTTACCCGACCCAGGAATCGAGACCCCTTGCCCAGCAGTCGCACTTGCGACCACTCGGCTAACGAAGCAGCAAATAATAAACTTAAATAACTTAAATAACAAAAAATATATACAACATACATAAAATACTAATTTGTAGTAAACTAATTTATTATTCAATAAACTCAATTTAGTTTTATACCCTATCAACTCCTGTTACTATTAATCACGAAAGTTTTAAAATTAAAATGGAGTTTATCAAACAAATCCACACCTTATCCAATTAACATAAAACTGCAATCAAATAGCATTCAGTTTTGAAATGAAAAGCTTAAAACCAATCGGAGTTAAACGAATCACGTACGATATTCTAGTAATAAAGAGATTTGATCACAAACACGCTAGATTTTCAGACTACTGAAAAGTTCAATAAAGCCTGAAATTACCGACAGCTGCGAGGATAAACACGATTTGTATAATGAACGAGATTGAAGTGATTATAGTGAATAGATTTTATATTTTATAGAACTGGATTGGTATTATTGATATACAATAGGGTAGATGCCTAATTTTTATTTTAATGTCCGTCTGGTAGATTATTTTAAATCATTAGACACGTATTTTTTATTTTCTTACAGAAACGAATACTTTCGACTATATATTGATTTGAAATGTCGCGTGACGTCACTAGCCCCCACTTCTAAACTTTGATTCGTTTTATCTAGGTACTATTTTATTATATGACAAAATAAAAATATACGTGTCTAATATTTTTTCATTACCTAACTTACTGACTAATTAGATTTTTAATTTTCATACCCCGTCTTCATCCCAATTGTGTATTTTTTTATGATTTCGTTATTACGTTATTTTATGCTGCAATGTTTTGACTTGAGAGCTGGAATGACTTTAATGTTAGTTAATATTTAATATTCCAGTGCACTGGCTAGGGAAAAAAGTCTAATGTAAGTATGCATTTTGGTCTCGAAGAACTTAATGGATATAGTTGATATAATTACGTCTTGTATATGATTACAATGATGATTTATTTCATTAATTCAATATTATGCAATAGTTTAAAAAATCCTACTGAAGTTTTTTAATTCATTCACAATCACAGCCAGTATCAAACCATCTTAGAATAGATATCAACAAAAACATATTCTTTTCTGATCAAGCGAAGATTTCAAAAATCATAGAAAGCAAACTGGCGCAAATATAGTTTCCAAACTAACTGGAATAAAAGCTAACGAGTTTAGCAGTGCACTGAGTAAATTGCCCATTGTTGCACGACCAGCAAGTTTTCTATTGCACTTTTGAAACCAACCTATTTGTTTTTACCTACTTCTTTGTTTAGATATTGTTTAGTTTTATAGTTAGAAAAATGAACCACCATTGTGAACGACGACAAATTTTCTGCTTGCACGAACAGCGTACACAATGAGGCTCAAAATATGTCGTAGCTTCACGTTTAAACTCTTTATTAGTACTTAAAATGAATTTTCTAAGGTCGCTCAATAATATTTTAATCTATAGATATTGGAATATCTAGGGGAGGTTTGAGTATATGTTTCTTAATACTAACGTGATGGATAATGTCGAAAAAATAGTAAGTACAAGAAGAAATTAAAATAGTCGAGTTACCTCGTTTTAAAATACTTTTTATTATAAATTACGTTTAATAAAACCCAACTTCAAACCCTCTTTTTTGAACTCGGTTATTTAATATACCTTCTCCAAAGTGTAAAAAATAACTTTTCTGATATCTGCATCAACATCGGTTAAACCAATCGCGAGATAATCTTATCTTTATATATATAATTCTTCTGTGAGTGTGTATGTCACTGAACTTCTCTCAAACGACTGGACCGATTTTGATGAAATTTTTTGTGTGTGTTCAAGGGGATCTGGGAATGGTTTAAATTCACAAATCAGCCCGGCAGATGGCGCTGCAGTTGTCTGCAGGGTTTAGGCTATTTATCCTAAACAGCTGAACTAATTTGAATGAATTTTTGTTTATAGATTCAAGTGGATATGCAGGACAACGTCTGTCCGCTAATATATATATATATATATATATATATATATATATATATATATATATATATTCCAGATATATATATAAATATTCCAGGATGTACTAATATATATATA